GTTCTTTTGATATTTAAAAGTTATGTTTCAAATTTGAGCTCATTTGAAGTAGATTTGGGCATTGAATCATATATTGGATTGTAGGAATTCGAAAAACAAGTTTATGTTTTAGAACTTAAGATTCGAAATCTGAAGTTGCATTTAATAGATTGAACTACTTACGATTCGAATTTCTGAAGTTGCATTTGAAAGATAGAAGAACTTCAGATTTGATTTCTGAAGTTGCATTAAAGAGATTGAACTACTTAGGATTCGAATTTCTGAAGTTATATTTGAAAGATAGAAGAACTTCAGATTTGATTTCTGAAGTTGCATTAAAGAGATTGAACTACTTAGGATTCGAATTTCTGAAGTTATATTTGAAAGATAGAAGAACTTCAGATTTGATTTCTGAAGTTGCATTAAAGAGATTGAACTACTTAGGATTCGAATTTCTGAAGTTATATTTGAAAGATAGAAGAACTTCATATTGTATTGAAGAGATTAAACTACTTCAGATTTGAACGGGTATACTTTGGGCCTCACCTCAGTATCATATGCAGTAACATCTTTGTCTCATATTCTTTGTGTCTTTTAAGTTTCTTTTGTCCAAATAACATCCAAGAAAAGAAGTGGAAATAAGAAAAAAAAGCTCATGAAAGTGACAAATCTTAAATAATAATAGCAATAATAATTTAAAAAACAGTAGGCTGAAATTTAATCAGCAGAATGTGGCGGTGAAAATTGCAGTGACGGCCTATTTGGTCGGCCCCATTTAACCTGTATCCACTTTTTATTTTATTTTTAAATTTGTACCCACTGTTTAAACAATTTCATGCCTTTTTTTCCTCTTTCTTCTTCTTCTTCTTCTTCTTCTTCTTCTTCTTCTTCTTCGGGTAACAGTGATTTTATATGGTATTTGTGAACATATTTTTATAACGACCCAACCAATTGTTTTGAGCATTTGCACTTCGCTCGGTAGTTTACGGGCATGAGTACCTTCGTATGATGTATTATGACTTATGTGAATCATCGATTTTTGGTTTTCAGGTTATTCAGAATCGAATTGGAAGACTGGATTTCAGGGTTGAAGCTTTATATTGGGAGAGTTGACCAAGTTTGATTTTTATGAATTTGAACCCGGAACGGAGTTTTGATGGTTCTGTTAGCTCCGTTGGGTGATTTTGGACTTAGGAGCGCGCCCGGATTGTGATTCGGAGGTCCGTAGTTGAATTTGGCTTGAAATGGAAAAAATTGAATTTTTGAAAAGTTTGACCGGGAGTGGACTTTTTGATATCAGATTCGGATTATGATTCCGAGAATTGGAATAGCTTCGTTATGTTATTTGGGACTTGTGTGCAAAATTTGAGGTCAATAGGACATGATTTGATAGGTTTCGGCATCGGTTGTGAAAGTTTGAAGTTCAAAGTTCATTAAATTCGATTTGAGGTGCGATTCGTCGTTTTGCTGTTGTTATGCGTGATTTGAGGCTTCGAGTAGGTCCGTGTTATATTATTGAACTTTTTGGTATATTTGGACGAGGTCCCGAGTGGCTCGGATGAGTTTCAGACGAGGTTCAGATCACTTTCGTTGCATGGTGCATTGCTGAAGGCTGCTGGTTCTGGTGTGATCGCACATGCGACTGATTTTGAGCAGGTGCGATGGCCGCATAAGCGACAAAGGCGTCGCAGATGCGAGATGAGAGCTGGATGAGGAGGCCCGCGGAAGCGAAGAAAAGGGCGCAGGTGCGTCGAGTGGAAGCACAGGTGCAAGTGTCTTCGCAAATGCAGAGTTTGATACCGCAGCTGCGGGGGTTGCTGGGCAAGGCCATTTTTCGCAGATGCGATATTTTCCGAAAAAGCGGTGGCCGCAGGTGCGACGAATTGTTCGTAAATGCGGAAATCGCTGGGCAGAACCTATAATTCGAGGTCTTTGGTTTTTATCTTCATTTTCGGATTTTGAAGCTCGGATTGGGCAACTTTGGAGAGGAGATTTTCCGCACAACTTGGGTTAAGTGCTCTCTACTCATTTTTGATCTTATATCACGAATCTACCTTCGTTTATGGTAATTGGATTGTGAATTTTATAGAAGAAATTGGGGGGTTTGGCCTAAAATTCATAATATGAATTTTTGAGTTTTGAACATCGATTTGGAGTTGGAATTAAGTGAAATTAGTATGGTTGAACTTGTAATTGGATGGATTGTTGGATTTTATGAGTTTCGTCGGATTCCGAGACATGGTCCCCACAGGCGATTTTTGGAGTGTAATTTCGGATTTTGTGAAAAAATATTAGTATTTTGATATGGAATTAATTTCTATAATTGTGAGAAATGAATCAAATTTATTGTGGGTAGATTCGAGCCGTTCAGAAGTTGATACGCGCACAATGGGATTTCTGGAGCATTGTTTAGCTTGCTCGACTTTGGATTCGTCATGTTCGAGGTAAGTAACTCTTCTAATCTTGGAGGGACCCACTGGGGTCATTTCTGATGTTAAGTTATCTGCTTTCATTGCATTACATACTCGGTCATATGCATTCATATGCATATTATATCTCAGCCTCTGTTGTTTTTTATTGATACATTATATCATCATTTTCGGGCTATTTTCATGACATTGTGAGCCCATGAGAGACTGGAGAGATTGATGATTGAGGGAGGCCGAGGGCCTGACTGTGAGGATATTTTTGGGACCGGGCTGCACGCCGCAGCAGGCCATGATGGCTTTATATATTATTATTATTATTATTATTATTATTATTATTATTATTATTATTATTATTATTATTATTATTATGATGTGGATTGGGGCTGCCCGCCTGCAGCAGTCCTTATAGGCTTTATATAGCGCTTGGGCTGAAGGAGCCCCTCTGGAGTCTGCACACACCCCGAGTGAACGCGGTTGATATTATTGAGGGATGGATCTTCCCTGGACATGGATCTTGTCCGACGCATTATATACCTGGAGATGGATCTTTTCTATGGGCTGGATTGGTCCTACTCGGTACTGAGTGACTGATAATCAGTTGATGTATATATTCCGGGATGGATCTTCCCTGGGCCGGATTGACCATATACAGTACCGAGTAATTGAGCATGATATGTGGAATGTGCGAGAAAGTGAGATTGAGTACTCTGAGAGTGTGAGTACATGAGTTCATCTCTGAGATACATTGCATTGACATGCACACATGACATACAAGCATAGAGATGTATTAATCCTCATGTTGTATGGTATTACATAATTCATGATTTCTCACACATGTTGAGAGATGGGCATAGTGATGCATTTGTTTTACACTGGTTATCTGGAAAGAAAATAAAACATCCTAATTATTATTGAAAGGATTTTGTGAGAATTATTGTTTTCAAACTTATTCATATTTTTGGCAACTTCGATAAACGATTTGGGTTTTCACTGATATACTTGAAAGACAGAATCATTTTCAAAAGTCATGATTTAGCTGAGCATTTATTCTTTGATTTACTTCTGGTATTACTTGTTTTATATTGTTATGAACTATTGTTGGTTATGGAAGTTGGACTCAGACCTTAGTACAAGCTCGTCACTATTTTCAACCTAAGGTTAGGTTTGTTACTTATTGAGTACACGAGGTCGGTTGTACTCATACTACACTTCTGTACCTTGCGTGCAGATGTTGGCTGATGATGATGTTGTGTTCGTTGGGAGCTGGATCCGAAGATGTACCTGCGTCCTGGTTGTAGCTGCCTTTTGTTCATGGTAGCATTAGATTCATAAAACTCCGTTTATGTACTTTTCAAATAGATGATGTATTTACTTCATACCGGCTTTGTATACTCTATTCTTAGAAGCTCATGATTTGTACTATCAGTTCTTGGGGAATGTATAAGATTAAAAAAAAAATTATACTTAAATTGCCTTATTAATTACATTAGAATTGGTTAGTGGTTAATTGGCTTACCTAGCGGGTTGAGTTAGGTGCCGTCATGACTAGTCGAATTTTGGGTCGTGACAAGGTGGTATCAGAGCTCTAGGTTCATAGGTTCCACAAGTCATGAACAAATGTCTAGTAGAGTCTTGCGGATCAGTATGATGACGTCCATACTTATCTTCGAGAGGCTACAGGGCATTTAAGATATATACTTCCTATTTTTCTTTCCTTATCGTGCGAAATTGATTCAGCTTGAGACATAACTCTTTGAATTTCTTCCACACATTCGTATACGTACATGAGCGCTCGGTATCAGCTGTGCATCGCCGACTTGTGATTCTATGAACGAGGTTCGAGATGTGTCACTACATAAAAATGGGCTTTAGCGGTAATACAAAATGGCTTTAGCGGCAATAATAATAGCCGCTATATTTTTTTACCGGCTATTGGTATTTTGCCGCTGAAGACGGGGTCGGCAAAGGCTTTAGCGGCCATTCTAACAAAAGCTGGTAAAAGGTATAGTTATTGCCACTAAAAATTATTATCTTTAACGGCTATTGTTTGCGATAATTATAATGACTGCTAAATCCAATCCAAAACGGCTAATTATACTCCTTTAGCATCCATTTATAAAGCCGCTAAATTCAAAATAAGTGTCGCTAAAATTAGCATATTTAATGGCAATTGTTGGCGACAATTATAATGGCTACTAAATCCAAACCAAAATGGCTAATTATACTCCTTCCGCTAAATTCAAAATAATTGCCGCTAAAATTAGCATCTTTAACGACAATTATTTTGTGGCAATTAAAATAGCTATAGTATCCCTTCTAAGAACATCTTAGTTTTCTGCAATATCCCTTGTGAAAATATCTTAATTTGTCCTTTTATCGTCCTACTTTATAACTGGTATATCCAACTAAATTAGCACTACAAGTCACAAGTTGTAATAGCAATAGTTTAGCCAATAATAGTTACTACATCTATCCAGAATATGATCCAAAAATAAAATATATTAATATTGATTCAAAAAAACATAATATATCTCATTAAATCTTAACAAAAGAAAGTACTAATAAAAAATATTAATGTCATAGCAACTTAAAATAAACTTATATTATTTAAACTAAATAACTAATATCATTATATAACTAATCCAGACGAATGATGGTGTTCAAATGATTTCTGCACTTTTCATCATTTTGAGATCTTTCACCGGCTAAATTATCGAACATTAGACTGTATGACCTGAAATTATAAAATAATTGTGTCAAAAGATGAAATATAATATGAAAAAATATTCTTTTTCAGCGAACACCCTCACATAACATATATAAGCAGAAACAACTAGATGTATTTATAAGCAAACAAAAATGGATGTGCAAGGAATTAAAGAGAGTTTCTTTCTTTGTTATGATAGAGAAGAAACAAACAAAAAATTCAAAAGTAGAGTATTAGCTTGGAGAAGTAAAAAGAAGTTGCACGCCAAATTACAACAACAAAAACAAGCAAACATCATTAACAAAGGACAGAAAAATAATACCAATAATGTATGAACCGGAAACGATATTATCTTTACCTCATTATTACTATACAGATAGACAATCTATTGCGGAACTGCATAAATATTCTAAAACCCAGTGAAGCAAACTTGGTTGAAGGTTTAAGATGTTATTAATCAATCCAATGAACTCCAGTAGAAAAGGCAGGTTTGGTGAAAGGCCAAAAGAAGTATCAAGTTGACTATAGCATTTGCAGAGAGAAATACTAGAAAACTAAAGAATATTTGATGCCTTAGTCCCGCCATTCTCACTTTAATAAGACCACCCCAAGTGATCATCATGGAGATAAATAAATAAGGCAAATAACCCCTCATTGAAAAATAAGTGTAAATCGGATGTCACTTTAGTAACTGAAAATGACGCCCAATCTACGTCCATATTCTTTTGGAATGATGTAGAAATTTTGCAACAGTTATGACATCAACAACACTAGGAAAAGAAAATATATAAAAGTAAGAAGCATCCAAGGTAAGCCCAAATACAACAACAAAGTAATAAAAATCGAAGGAGGAAAACTCAAACAATAGCGATGAAGGACAAAGATGAGTAGTACCGTAAGAAGGTTGAGCATTTTCAGCAACACTAGGTATCCTTGATGATTGCGGTACTCGTTTATGTCCACTATTGGCGTCAGGTATCTAATAAATATTAACATGTTAGATAACGATACTTTTATATGATAAAAATTTCATTAAAAATATTTAAAGCTTATAAAATCGAGTTACCTGTTCACCCGAGGTGCCATTGCTACTTTGAGGCATAGATGCATTAGGAGCATATTTGCACATGAATTGTCTCATTTGGAGTAGTTCTAATTGCATCTTCTCCTGATTTTATTTTATCATATTCATTTCTTCATTTTTTTTCTCCTTTAACTCGATTATCTCCTGTTCTAATCTTTTTATAACCTCATTAGACATATCATCTACAATAGTATTTCCTATGGAAGACTTACTACCCCATAAAACAGAAGGAGTTGGACTAAGTCCCAAACCACAAACATACCTACTATTTTCATTTCCCAACACTTAGGAATACACATCGCTTTCTCAAGTAACATTGCGAGGATGTTGCTCAGTAGATCTCTCACTATTGCTCATCCTTTCATTTATCATTTCCTGACCATAGTGATAAATCTATTTTGGAATTCATGAAGAGGAAAATAGCTTAGCAATCTGTATATTAACCTCAACCTTTATTACTGAAAATTTCATTCTTAATCCATAAGCAAGATAATTTTTCAAAGTTCAATCCGTGCACCCATTGACTAACAAAATGACACGATACTCAAGTAGGCACATAAATCACTGATTTCAATTCCTTTCATTACCTAACATGTGACCAAATTAACAGATGAGCCAAAAATTTCCATATAAATGCAACAAGTTTCAGTCATGTTTCATGAAGATTACATTTAGCTCCTTGATGTAAAAAATGCAAGCACCAACATCTAACTTCATTTAGTAACGCAACAGAAAGCTCTTCGTCTCTTTAACTGCACTATTGTTTCTAATCTTCTTTGATATTCGGTGTTGTCTCTCATAAGCTATTATGGTCTTGTATGAGTTATTTACCTATAGTTTATTTAATTTATGTAAACACAAATGATTTCTTTCACTTCTTTGAGAAAAAATGAAGTTCATTTGGCCAAGTGAACAATAATATTGATCATGTGCGTAGCAAATTGATCCAATTTCTTTAAACTATGTAACCATGAAGATGCCTCTTCTAATCACCAGCAAATGCTAAGGATAAAAATTAAAATTCATGAATAAATCAATATTTTTTCTGTTGGACAACCATAGCAACAAGGAAGTTTATGCCTAATATCTTTGAGTGAATAAATAAACATGAACAAAAGTCACAATATTTCTCATGTTCTAACTGTTTGCCAATTTATAAAATAAAAGAAAGAATAAATCTTACGATTGTCTTGGCAGAATCATCATCCAGTGGTCTACCATACTTACGTTTTTTATGAGTTAATATAAAAATTTCTGCTCGTGTAGGCTCTATCCCGTTTACAGCCTAATACAATAAAAATGATATCAGATATATGTGACTAAAAGGTTTAAAATATTATAATTTGTAATTTTCACAGGTTTACCTGCTCATTCATCAAGGTAGCAATACTTTTGGATCCTCCTGTGTGAGGCATAGTTTGTTTGGCCCTATTATTTCTATTTGCTTGGGTACGTCTCTGTCATTATATTAAAATGATATTTTATAAATTATAAATATAAATTGAGAATAACTAAAATCAAAACGCTATGAATATGAGCTAGGAGAATTTTCAAGGTTGATACCTTAGCTTTATCAGAAAGCCAATAAGAGACAAGACCACTCCATTGATCCCTTGGTATGCGACTTGGTCTATTTTTTAGCAAAGCGTCTTTAGTCTTATATTTTCGCGTATACTCACTTTTTAATTCGCACTTGTAATCTTTCCATTTATTTCCTAGTGACTTTACGATCCACGCTTCTCCACGTTTTGGGATAGAGAACTTCTTCTACAAAAATAACAGCCAACATTTAGAAGATAACATCATGTATAAAAGATTGAGCATGTTCACAAAATAATAATAATAATAACTTCTCCATACCCTCACAAAATCCACCAATTTCTTCTTTTCTTCGTTGTCAAAATTTCTCAAATTATCTACATGTAGAGGTGTTAGTTCTGGAGTTCTGGCAATAATTCCTAGAAATCTAGCAAGCTTTCGACCCTCTTTTCCAATAGCTTGGTTACGATTATTAAACGACACATCAACTATCTTTCCCGGTGAAAATTTCCAAATATCTTTTAGTAAAGTAGGCCCACGAACCGTTTTTGCTTCTAAATTACCTAAAATGAAAAAGATCTGAATCATCTTATGATATCAAAAATCCTAACTCCAGATACTTTAACATCACACTACTGAAAGAGACTAGCAAAGCAGAAATATAACTATAAATGTCACAACAATGTCAAGGAATTACAACAAAGTACTCATATTAGAACTGAAGTTAATGCTGTAGGAAATCAAGAATTATCACATGAAAGGAAGCAAGCAACTGATACTAATCACGAAGTTGCGTTAGTTTCAATTCAAGCTTTTCTCCAAGTCTTCACAATATTATCTGAACTTTCTGTTTCCTAAAAATGTGGTGGCATGTGTTATATCTGCTCTCTGGCTACCGACTCCACCACCACTAGACACACCTCTTCAGTTAATTGGAAAAGAATCAGTTATACATGTTGCATAGAGGTGTTCATAACACGCAGCGGAAGACAATAACAATCCTAGGCAGATCTTTTCGTGTTTAAAATTTATTTTGCATGTCAAAGATCAAATCTAAGATGTACCTGGTGAAGAGAGTCTCGTTTTAAATTTTTTCGATAGTGCGAAGACGCTATGCGTATCCACACCGAGACTGATCCTTGCTATCAACTCTTTGATCAATGAAATCCCGCGAACAAATTGAATGAAAATATTGTATTGAAACTCTTCTCAAAAATCTCAACTCAAAGGTAGAAGAACAAGAAATATTTTTCTTGTACTAGTATTTTCTATCTTGGCTTTGTATTGCACTATTACTTTCTCAAAGCAATTTTCTTCTCAAGAATAACTCTCTTGATTTTTACAATATGTATAAGATCTATATTACCCTAATTCTTAATTAGGATTCGCACATATATATATACACATAATTTCCATTGGAAAATACAAATCACATACTTTATGGTAAATATTTAAAAAATATGTAACTAATTTATGGAATTCAATTCTAAATTGAATTC